TAATGGAGCCCATAGCTCCGCTCACAGAGGTGATCTGGGGTCAAGAACGGTGGAAACGTGACCTCCAGGTCAAGGTCTACCCGCATGCAAAATTTCAATGCGCTGCGACAACTTTGACATCCGAGTGGCATTTGAGCGCCAGGTGTTAGTCTTATGTGCATTTTCGACCAAAAATGTCAAATCGCCGTAGGAGTCTCAGACTTTGCAGGACGACTCCTTAGGTCAAAATTGAGCATTCCCAACGAAACATTTTTCACTTTGGAGCCAATGTTACAGTTGGATAATGGAGCCCATAGCTCCGCTCACAGAGGTGATCTGGGGTCAAGAACGGTGGAAACGTGACCTCCAGGTCAAGGTCTACCCGCATGCAAAATTTCAATGCGCTGCGACAACTTTGACATCCGAGTGGCATTTGAGCGCCAGGTGTTAGTCTTATGTGCATTTTCGACCAAAAATGTCAAATCGCCGTAGGAGTCTCAGACTTTGCAGGACGACTCCTTAGGTCAAAATTGAGCATTCCCAACGAAACATTTTTCACTTTGGAGCCAATGTTACAGTTGGATAATGGAGCCCATAGCTCCGCTCACAGAGGTGATCTGGGGTCAAGAACGGTGGAAACGTGACCTCCAGGTCAAGGTCTACCCGCATGCAAAATTTCAATGCGCTGCGACAACTTTGACATCCGAGTGGCATTTGAGCGCCAGGTGTTAGTCTTATGTGCATTTTCGACCAAAAATGTCAAATCGCCGTAGGAGTCTCAGACTTTGCAGGACGACTCCTTAGGTCAAAATTGAGCATTCCCAACGAAACATTTTTCACTTTGGAGCCAATGTTACAGTTGGATAATGGAGCCCATAGCTCCGCTCACAGAGGTGATCTGGGGTCAAGAACGGTGGAAACGTGACCTCCAGGTCAAGGTCTACCCGCATGCAAAATTTCAATGCGCTGCGACAACTTTGACATCCGAGTGGCATTTGAGCGCCAGGTGTTAGTCTTATGTGCATTTTCGACCAAAAATGTCAAATCGCCGTAGGAGTCTCAGACTTTGCAGGACGACTCCTTAGGTCAAAATTGAGCATTCCCAACGAAACATTTTTCACTTTGGAGCCAATGTTACAGTTGGATAATGGAGCCCATAGCTCCGCTCACAGAGGTGATCTGGGGTCAAGAACGGTGGAAACGTGACCTCCAGGTCAAGGTCTACCCGCATGCAAAATTTCAATGCGCTGCGACAACTTTGACATCCGAGTGGCATTTGAGCGCCAGGTGTTAGTCTTATGTGCATTTTCGACCAAAAATGTCAAATCGCCGTAGGAGTCTCAGACTTTGCAGGACGACTCCTTAGGTCAAAATTGAGCATTCCCAACGAAACATTTTTCACTTTGGAGCCAATGTTACAGTTGGATAATGGAGCCCATAGCTCCGCTCACAGAGGTGATCTGGGGTCAAGAACGGTGGAAACGTGACCTCCAGGTCAAGGTCTACCCGCATGCAAAATTTCAATGCGCTGCGACAACTTTGACATCCGAGTGGCATTTGAGCGCCAGGTGTTAGTCTTATGTGCATTTTCGACCAAAAATGTCAAATCGCCGTAGGAGTCTCAGACTTTGCAGGACGACTCCTTAGGTCAAAATTGAGCATTCCCAACGAAACATTTTTCACTTTGGAGCCAATGTTACAGTTGGATAATGGAGCCCATAGCTCCGCTCACAGAGGTGATCTGGGGTCAAGAACGGTGGAAACGTGACCTCCAGGTCAAGGTCTACCCGCATGCAAAATTTCAATGCGCTGCGACAACTTTGACATCCGAGTGGCATTTGAGCGCCAGGTGTTAGTCTTATGTGCATTTTCGACCAAAAATGTCAAATCGCCGTAGGAGTCTCAGACTTTGCAGGACGACTCCTTAGGTCAAAATTGAGCATTCCCAACGAAACATTTTTCACTTTGGAGCCAATGTTACAGTTGGATAATGGAGCCCATAGCTCCGCTCACAGAGGTGATCTGGGGTCAAGAACGGTGGAAACGTGACCTCCAGGTCAAGGTCTACCCGCATGCAAAATTTCAATGCGCTGCGACAACTTTGACATCCGAGTGGCATTTGAGCGCCAGGTGTTAGTCTTATGTGCATTTTCGACCAAAAATGTCAAATCGCCGTAGGAGTCTCAGACTTTGCAGGACGACTCCTTAGGTCAAAATTGAGCATTCCCAACGAAACATTTTTCACTTTGGAGCCAATGTTACAGTTGGATAATGGAGCCCATAGCTCCGCTCACAGAGGTGATCTGGGGTCAAGAACGGTGGAAACGTGACCTCCAGGTCAAGGTCTACCCGCATGCAAAATTTCAATGCGCTGCGACAACTTTGACATCCGAGTGGCATTTGAGCGCCAGGTGTTAGTCTTATGTGCATTTTCGACCAAAAATGTCAAATCGCCGTAGGAGTCTCAGACTTTGCAGGACGACTCCTTAGGTCAAAATTGAGCATTCCCAACGAAACATTTTTCACTTTGGAGCCAATGTTACAGTTGGATAATGGAGCCCATAGCTCCGCTCACAGAGGTGATCTGGGGTCAAGAACGGTGGAAACGTGACCTCCAGGTCAAGGTCTACCCGCATGCAAAATTTCAATGCGCTGCGACAACTTTGACATCCGAGTGGCATTTGAGCGCCAGGTGTTAGTCTTATGTGCATTTTCGACCAAAAATGTCAAATCGCCGTAGGAGTCTCAGACTTTGCAGGACGACTCCTTAGGTCAAAATTGAGCATTCCCAACGAAACATTTTTCACTTTGGAGCCAATGTTACAGTTGGATAATGGAGCCCATAGCTCCGCTCACAGAGGTGATCTGGGGTCAAGAACGGTGGAAACGTGACCTCCAGGTCAAGGTCTACCCGCATGCAAAATTTCAATGCGCTGCGACAACTTTGACATCCGAGTGGCATTTGAGCGCCAGGTGTTAGTCTTATGTGCATTTTCGACCAAAAATGTCAAATCGCCGTAGGAGTCTCAGACTTTGCAGGACGACTCCTTAGGTCAAAATTGAGCATTCCCAACGAAACATTTTTCACTTTGGAGCCAATGTTACAGTTGGATAATGGAGCCCATAGCTCCGCTCACAGAGGTGATCTGGGGTCAAGAACGGTGGAAACGTGACCTCCAGGTCAAGGTCTACCCGCATGCAAAATTTCAATGCGCTGCGACAACTTTGACATCCGAGTGGCATTTGAGCGCCAGGTGTTAGTCTTATGTGCATTTTCGACCAAAAATGTCAAATCGCCGTAGGAGTCTCAGACTTTGCAGGACGACTCCTTAGGTCAAAATTGAGCATTCCCAACGAAACATTTTTCACTTTGGAGCCAATGTTACAGTTGGATAATGGAGCCCATAGCTCCGCTCACAGAGGTGATCTGGGGTCAAGAACGGTGGAAACGTGACCTCCAGGTCAAGGTCTACCCGCATGCAAAATTTCAATGCGCTGCGACAACTTTGACATCCGAGTGGCATTTGAGCGCCAGGTGTTAGTCTTATGTGCATTTTCGACCAAAAATGTCAAATCGCCGTAGGAGTCTCAGACTTTGCAGGACGACTCCTTAGGTCAAAATTGAGCATTCCCAACGAAACATTTTTCACTTTGGAGCCAATGTTACAGTTGGATAATGGAGCCCATAGCTCCGCTCACAGAGGTGATCTGGGGTCAAGAACGGTGGAAACGTGACCTCCAGGTCAAGGTCTACCCGCATGCAAAATTTCAATGCGCTGCGACAACTTTGACATCCGAGTGGCATTTGAGCGCCAGGTGTTAGTCTTATGTGCATTTTCGACCAAAAATGTCAAATATGGCATATATTAGGTATTGAAATACTCCCATTGCTCACATAACATTTCATATGGCGAGGATTAGTTCAATGTTATTCCGGTCTGCAAATGCTACGATATTGTTTTCAATCACATTAAACCGTTTACCGAGAGCCTAAATTGTTACATGAATGGCTTGTGAAGTTATTTTAGCAATACAGATACTACTGCTACTGTGCCTCGGGCGATAATTGTGTACAGTGCAAAAGACTATTGATATCCTGTATTATAAATTTAATACTGTATATCTGTGAACAATGTTCCTGCACTTTTTAAAACATATTGTACCAACTCTTCGTATACCAGAATGCTTGGGGAAAAAACTATTCAATTGTATTATTGGCCTGAGGCTTTACGTTACTGAAATAAATGTGTGTGTATGTCTATGTCTATGTCTATGTCTATGTCTATGTGTTTGTGTATGTCTATGTCTATGTCTATGTCTATGTCTATGTCCGAACAGCATTTACACCAATCAAACATACTTGCTATGCTGCGCCCGGGTATGAGGTATACCTTATTAGAAGAAAGACCTGATAAGTTCGGCAGCAGATGAACTTTGGACCTTGTGTTTCATACGTCCAATGTTCTAAACTCGAAGACAAGCAATGAAACCTTTGTTTTCTTTATGGATTTTTTCACACCTTGCTGTTTAGTTCGTCCTCGCCCTTATGTCTTACCACCGTCTCACACAAGCAATGAATTTCACTTTAAATGGCCCTCATTCAACACCTTTAAACATTTATTGGAACAAATAAATAGTCAAGAGAATGTTGGTGATGGTCCCCAGAAAAGGGAAAATAGTGCAAACTTTCGCACAGCACCGCGTCGCGACTATAGACAGTTTGGACAAATAACCACCGCTGAATAGTTCAACAGAATGTTCCATACACTACTGACGATCCAAAAATGGGCAACCATCGTTTTCATTTTTTGGGAACTAGTTTTTATCAACGACGGCCCACGAATACGCCGCGTCTGGGAGAATTCTTTTCACAACATTTAACTAAACAGCTTTGCAACTAGCTTACGTGCTATTTACATACGTCTGGGTCCTTAGCGTGTTTTCCTAACATGTATTTATTTGTCTCTTCAGGGACCATCATACCGCTGCCAACGTCCTATTGCGTTCGTTTCCTTCAATTCAGAATTGTACGACTTCCATGCAGCCATTGCTCCCTTGCGCCTGTCACCTAAAGTCGCCGATTGCTTATCACCCCAGAGAGGAATATGAAGAGTTTTTTTCACATTGTGTAGGTAAGTCATATTTAGGTTGCATTGAGCAGCACGTGCAAAGGTAAATTGTCTTTGCAGCAACAGAAAATCCAAAAATACTTCATCACGCGAGAGAGCTTCAGTTTCTGTTCACTCTTTCTGCCACGCCCAATTAAACAACGGTGTTGTCGGCATGTCACAAACATTTATTCAGAATGTCGTCCACAGTGGAATAAAACAACATTGACACGTCATTACAAAGAGATAAAAAATAAATTAATATTTCACCACCATTAATCAAAAATAATGTTGTGGATTTTTAAAAAATATATAACACACCATCATGGAACCAACCACTACCATTTGTCCTCTTGTTCAATGTCAATGTCATATTATGCCTTCTTGTAAGATGCAATCATTTAAAGAAGGCAGCTCATCTGCGGCTTTTGGGCCATTGTCAACTACCTATAGCACAACAATCCCAACAACAACCCCAACCCTTTGTTGAACTGCTCACAGTGGTGCTAACTGACACAGTGTTCTACAGAGAAACAAGTTCATACCAACTCACTGTTTGGAGACTCTTAAATGTTCTTCACTGTAGAAACAATGTTGCACTGTTAGTAAACCTGCCAAGGCTTTAACTCAGTTATTCCACAGTTCATAAGACTTAACAGCTCTGTTCTGATTTAACTGGATTGGATTGGTACTTCACTGATATTCTTGAGTGAGTGAGTGAGTGAGTGAGTGAGTGAGTGAGTGAGTGAGTGAGTGAGTGAGTGAGTGAGTGAGTGAGTGAGTGAGTGAGTGAGTGAGTGAGTGAGTGAGTGAGTGAGTGAGTGAGTGAGTGAGTGAGTGAGTGAGTGAGTGAGTGAGTGAGTGAGTGAGTGAGTGAGTGAGTGAGTGAGTGAGTGAGTGAGTGAGTGAGTGAGTGAGTGAGTGAGTGAGTGAGTGAGTGAGTGAGTGAGTGAGTGAGTGAGTGAGTGAGTGAGTGAGTGAGTGAGTGAGTGAGTGAGTGAGTGAGTGAGTGAGTGAGTGAGTGAGTGAGTGAGTGAGTGAGTGAGTGAGTGAGTGAGTGAGTGAGTGAGTGAGTGAGTGAGTGAGTGAGTGAGTGAGTGAGTGAGTGAGTGAGTGAGTGAGTGAGTGAGTGAGTGAGTGAGTGAGTGAGTGAGTGAGTGAGTGAGTCTGGCTGGCTGGCTGGCTGGCTGGCTGGCTGGCTGGCTGGCTGGCTGGCTGGCTGGCTGGCTGGCTGGCTGGCTGGCTGGCTGGCTGGCTGGCTGGCTGGCTGGCTGGCTGGCTGGCTGGCTGACTGACTGACTGACTGACTGACTGACTGACTGACTGACTGACTGACTGACTGACTGACTGACTGACTGACTGACTGACTGACTGACTGACTGACTGACCAGGGTGACTGACTGACTGACTGACTGACTGACTGACTGACTGACTGACTGACTGACCAGGGTAACTTAAGGTAATTGATGCTGAGGACATTGTTGGTGTATCTGGTACCTTCAGTAGGGTGAGCATACAGTTAATAATAATTTCACCTTGTCAAGCAAACTTATAATACATCTTTCTTGTAAAACTCAGGTCAGGGGGTTTAGAGTTAATCAGATTACCATGTACGAGACAATGGTCGCCACTCATAGGCCCAAGAACACCTGAAGAGTATAATACTAATAAATGTTCGGGGGTGCTGAGTAATCCTTGTGGGTTCAATAATAATTTGATGAAGACCAAAAGTTGCCTGCAAATATTCTAATGGTTTAAAGATACTAAGGTAATCAATCTGTATTAATATTACCTCCTAGCATTGAATCAATACCATTAACATATCAATCAAGCCCCAACATTGACTACTTTAAGTATGTTACAACATCCCTATCACAGATCAACAGGTGTTTCTTCTTACAAGTGATTTTCATCCAAAATGTCTTGAGTCCTATTAATAAGTTATCCATGCATTTAGTAAATAAGTTGTCATTAATGTAGATGGCAACACCCGCGACCCTTGTAGATATATCTGGAGTAAATGCACTGCGGAAACCTGGTAGTAATTCTTCATTTAAAATATGATAGTGCAGCCATGTTTTTGTAATATATATTATATTACATTATGTCATTAAATTTGATGTTAATAATATGAATCTTGTAATTGGGACTTCCTATACTACTCAGCTGTATCCCCTCTTGCTGAAAGTACAGATGAACTAGATAATATAATATAGATGTAGTCTGTGTTTAAATCTCTTTGTACAAAGAACCTTACAATTAAATGCCCTGATTCTCTGTTGATACTGTACAATACCTACTCCTCTCAAACACTTTCATAGGATCAATTTGGATAGAAACTCAGAGTCTGCAAAGTAAAGTGTCAAGATAGTTGTTTTAATATAAGAATTATGGATCATTTATCATATCTGTATCAGAATGCATGAGCTGGTGGCATGTTGTCCTGTGCACAGTGCACAGGTCACAAATCATGTCAAGTTGAGCTGCACTGGTTGTGGGGAGTAGTTGGATCGACTTTGTTCTGCAGCTTGGCTGCTGAGATTTTCTTGGACTTTGGTACTGCCTCACTCTGAAGCACATTTAACATTTGTCCCCCTTGGGCAAGTGACTGTTTGAAATGTGACCCTGTTCACCCAGCAGTGAATGGGTACCCAGTAGGGTCAGATGTCAATGTGACGGTTAACCTGCAAGTGCCTCAAAGCTGTTTGGGTTGTATTCTCCCTAGGGAGCTGAGTATGTTTGTTAAGTGCACACTGATCCATTGAACGGGTAATAAGTGTGCTTTTAGCAACCACAGAGTGGATGGAAAACAGCGCCTAACAAATGCACTTGTGTTGTATGAAATATGAATGCAGTATAGATTTTCAAATGTTAAAAAAAAATAATGCAAAACAGGCATAACAAATATAGTAAAATGACAGATTTTCACATCATCTGTATATAATCTGCATGTTAACCTCTCACACAAGACAGGTCAGCACAATAGAGGTCACCCATAAGGCATTTGTCCAGTGACCATGACAAAATAGAGTTCAGAATAAATAATCATAATAACTAAAGATATGCACTGAAAGTCAAGTCACAGTTTAGATGATTGATTGATGGCAGTAATGCCGCTCTAGAGATCAGAATTATGTTGACAAATAGAGTGAGGCACCTAATCACAAGCTCACAAACTCAGTGATCTAACCCACTCAGCCACCGAGGCTTAGAAAGTGTTATCCCAAATATAACATTTTTAACATTATAAATATCATTGTATGTTCACGTTTCAAATTGTTATGGTTCTTAGTATTAAGTTATCATTACAAGTTAAAAATGTAGATATATATTATATAAAATATGTCTCACTGTATTGTCACTTTAATACCTATCTATAAAGTCACATGTCAATAGAGTTATTTGGTTGTCCAGCAGCACTAAGGAATTCAAGGGGAGTCTGAATCCTTCTATGAATTGGTCCGCAACCTCTGGTGCTTCTCAGTGTAAGTCCTCTTAAGGGATTGGGACGGGCACCATGAACCATCTGAGCTAACTTGGTACCGACCCACTGTGGTACACTTGCCCAGGCAGCCACTCTGTGCCATTACACGAATCCGCATTCGCTTTTGTTTATTCCAACTTTTGGTTGAACCGGGCCTTCCGGTTTTTCTGTCGATGTTATGGTTGCAGAATAAACTGCATTGAGTTGACACTGCTGTGTTGACTAATCCTTGGCACTGTGCATATTTCCAGTGAACACAAGTCAGCCGCTGGTTGTTGAGTCTGTATCTGAAGCCATGGAGGAGGACTTGCCTACCGCCTTTCTGCCACGTGAAGTATTCAACTTTTTTTGGATTTGTCATAGTTTAAAGATTCCATGATAAGCATTTTATAACTATACATTTCCTTCTCCATTTTGAGTAAAGAAAACCAAATTCTTATTTCTCATGAAATATCTCAAACTTGACTCAAAATTGCCATCAAAATACTGATATATCAAACAGATTCCAAAGAGGTGCCCTTTGCTATTTTACAGATTTGGGACATTTTTCATTTTCTTGTTTCCATGGAAACAATTTGGAGTTAGTGTCAAAAGGTGGGGGTAGGTGTCGTTTCCAGAGCACAACTTGGGAACTGGGAAAGACTTTTCATGTAAACCTGGTACATGTATTAATCAAGGGCTGAAGTGGTGCTTTTTGCTACTTTTGAATTTAAAAAGAACAAGTTCCTGTTTCCAAGGCAACAAGATTGACTGATTGTTGATAGTGGTGTATGTGTTTGTTTGTTCTAACCATATATCTAATACTAAAAGGTATTGGAGGTTTGGTGAAAAGGGATTTTCTCCAGTTGGAGTTATATGTTTTAATAAGTGATTGAAAATCTAATTTTTAATGCTTCGGCCTTAGAGAGGTGGAAAAGTTTAATTTGGGGGATGGATTTATCATTGCTTATTTGGCTGCTGTGGCAGCAGAGTCATTACCTGGTATGTTTGAGTGGCTAGGTATTCATGGTAGATGAACTGATTTATCTGATCTTAATTCTGAAGTTAGTTTCATCATGTTGTTATAGTCAGGTTTTTAAGTATTTATTTTGAATTTGTTTTATGGAGCTTAAAGAGTCAGAAATTATAAGAACGTGTTTTGTTTTGTTTTTAAAATATTTTTATTTAAATTCAGTAGACATATATGTAACATTGGTACATGAGGTATATACATGTAGCTATTCATAGAATCTTAAAACATGATCAGATATGGATAAGTACATCTACTGATTGACTGAGAAATTATAATCAGTAGGCTGATAATTCCATCCATTTTCTGTCGAATCTCTTAATACTACTATTTTCATTTGGATGAATTCTTCTATGCATACATCTCTCAACATTTTATGAAAAAAGGAAAGCATAATGGAGTTTTCTTAGTGCTTGACTGGTGAATGTATTTTTTTGCAAGAAGAATTATGAGGTTGAATAGGTAGTTGTTTTTGTTGTAGCAAAATAACTTATCCAGAATGCTAATATGAATATCATAAGCAAGTTTCGAGTTAAAGTACATTTCAATTTCTAACCAAAATTCCTTTACAAAAACACATTCTACATACACATGGTATAAGTTTTCAGATTCAGAGACATAAAATGAGCATATATCATCATCTATTAACTTCATTTTCCATAATTCCTTTTTGGTATATACAGCTCTATTTTTAAATCTGTGCTGGAAATCTATTAGTTTAACATCATTGGTACACAATGTACAATAAGAGAAAGCGTTATTCAATAAAATGCTTTGATTAAGTTAATTTTCCCATTTATCTCACATCAGAGGAAAGTTAGTTTATAGCTATGAGTTTATCATAAAATATTCTCGAGCCCTTTGTTCTTATCAACAAGTCTCTCAAAAAAACTTTAATGTATAAGTTAGCTGTGATAGAAGATCTGCCATTTATTGCTTTTTTCCCTGATTTCCCTGATTTTCCATTACTCTGTTGTAGTCAAGTATAGTACCTTTAATTTGAAATTGGTTTTGTAATTCTTCAAATATTCAAAATCTGTTGTTGCTATATAAAACTTTTAAACTATGAATACCCTTATTAAACCAAAGTTTAAGAATGAAATTATTTTTATATTGGTGATTGAACCATTATGGTTCTGATAAAATTTTGTCAATACTTTGTTTGTCAACTTTGTTTTCTGTAGTAATTACCCCAAATACTCAATATGTCCCCCCAAAAGGGAATTTTCAAAGTAATACACTTATCAATATTTGCTCCCAAAAGGAATATCTCTTTTGATTGGAAGTTCTTTAATGTTGACAAAGTCAGTTTTTGTAAACTTGTCCTTAAAAATGATAATTTCATGAATCAATAGATTGGCTGGTATCTATCATTCTCAGACCACCTCCTTCATATTTACTTATCAAGGCAGATCTTTTTATTTTGTCTGGTTTGTTATTCCAAATGAATGTATAAAATAGTTTATTAAATTTTCCAATAAATTTATCAGGTGGGTTTGGAAGTGCTGAAAATATATGAACTAATGTTGAACAAGACAGAGTCTTAAAAACTGTGATTGTACCTGTTAATGATAGATGTCTTTTTTTCCAGCTTCCCAGTAATATATTAATATGTTCCAGTCTTTTTCTTGTATTTATTACCCATGGATCAAGTAATGTGGGATTAAATATTATTCCCAAGACTTCCAAGTTTCCCTCATGCGAGTCTAATATCATGTCTTCATGTCTTCTAGTTTTTGATGCTGCTTCCTGCCATTGAACCTATCCATATAGCTTTAGTTTTGTCAATATTTACCTTAAGACTGGATATTCTATAAAATTTATTCAAAGTATCAATTGCAGCTCTCCAGATCCATCTAAAAATAACTGTGTATCATCTGCATATTGACCTAATTTATACTCCATATCATTTATTGTTATTCCTTTTATGCCGGTATCCTCTTTGGTTCAGAAAAGGGTGGAGAGATGTCCATTTTGTATTACACAAGATGATGCATTCTTAGTTAAGATATTAATCCATTTAATTATGTTTCGTCCAAAATCAAATTTTTTCATAACCATTTTTTCATAATTATAAGAAAGTTGGTTTGGTTCAGGGTTTTCGCTTGGTGTAGTGCTGCTGATATGGCCAGAAATTCTGCTGTATTTGAATTTTTGTGATGATAATTAGTGGTTATTGTGGGGTTGGTCTACATGGATACCTATGCTGGTGTTGTTTGTGTCTTGTGATGCATCGGTGTATGTGTGGTATGTGATGGCCAGTTTGTGTCTTGTGATGCATCGGTGTATGTGTGGTATGTGATGGCCAGTTTGTGTCTTGTGATGCATCAGCGTATGTGTGGTATGTGATGGCCAGTTTGTGTCTTGTGATGCATCGGTGTATGTGTGGTATGTGATGGCCAGTTTGTGTCTTGTGATGCATCGGTGTATGTGTGGTATGTGATGGCCAGTTTGTGTCTTGTGATGCATCGGTGTATGTGTGGTATGTGATGGCCAGTTTGTGTCTTGTGATGCATCGGTGTATGTGTGGTATGTGATGGCCAGTTTGTGTCTTGTGATGCATCGGTGTATGTGTGGTATGTGATGGCCAGCTTGAGTTGATAACTTGAGATGGGACGGTAGGAGTCAGGCTTGTTTGGGGTTTTTCCTCATGTGAGGACTGGTACTATATCAGAATTTTCCATTGAAGGGGTATAGTGCCCGTTGTCTATATTTAGTTTTTGTATTCTAATTAGGATTTTGTTTACGATTATGTAACTGATATTATCTTGTCCTGTGGCTGAGGCTGTGTTTTTGGTGTTGGCTCAGCAGCTTGTTTTAAAAAAGTTGGCAGCGATTGCAATAGTTTTGGCTTTATTTATGGTGAGGTTCTTAATGTTGGGGTAAATAGATTTTAGGGAATTAACTTTTATGGCTTTAAAATTTGTGGTGAGGTTCTTAATGTTGGGGTAAATAAGATTTTAGGGAATTAACTTTTATGGCTTTAAATTTTTTCCACAATAGCAGTGTTTTGTCTGCTTATGTTTATTTTTTACTGAAGTTTGCCAGTGTATTCTCTTTGCGCTGCCATGATTATTTGTTTAGTTGTGTTGCTCAGATTTATAACTACAGGTAGTTTAGAACGGTCTCTCTTAAAATGATTGGGAGCCTTTTTTCTTTGTTTTCTAGCATTGATTATTTTGTTGCTCCACCAAGGGACTGGGGTGTGTAAGAAGTTATTTATTTAGGTGGGTATACTTTTGTGTTTAAAGTGTCTGTGTCGGTGTTTTGTATTCGTGATCATGTGATGTGTCAGATTGATGGCAGAGTTTGATGAACAGTGGCCAGTTTGTTTGTTTTAAATTAAAATTTGTTTGCTGGGTGTTTCCTGAAGTTTGATTGTTTGTTAAAAGGGATTTGTTTATTATATTTAGTATAATTTTAAGGACCAGTGATCACTGCCCCCTGTGACATTATGAACTTCCCAGCCTGTTTTTTTAACAGATTTGCTGTCAAAGAGATAGTTATGAATGACATGGTGATGGGTATAACTTTGAGATAATTTTAGTTCAGTGATATGACTTTAGTTTATTTTTCAACTGTGGGTGGCAGTTAGGAAGCTGGCATAAGATGTTTGGTAGAGTTTGAACTTGTGAGCAAGGCTATTGTATTTTTAACAATATAACAAGAAGGGCAGCTGCTATGAACTTTATAAGTTTGTTATGTTGTTATATTTTTGTTGAGTTATGGTTGCTGAAGGTGCTGTTTTTAAGTTTTGATTTTTCTTTGCTTTTCTGTTATTTTGCTGAGTAATGTGGGTGGTGGTGTAGTTGTATGGGTGTTGGAGTGGTTGGGCGTGCTGGTGGGATTGGGGGTTGTGATGGTGGATGGTTGTATGGGTGTTGGAGTGGTTGGGCGTGATGATGGGATTGAGGGTTGTGATAGTGGATGGTTGTATGGGTGTTTGAGTGGTTGGGCGTGCTGACGGGATTGGGGGTTGTGATAGTGGATGGTTGTATGGGTGTTTGAGTGGTTGGGCGTGCTGACGGGATTGGGGGTTGTGATAGTGGATGGTTGTATGGGTGTTTGAGTGGTTGGGCGTGCTGACGGGATTGGGGGTTGTGATGGTGGATGGTTGGATGGTAGTGGTATGGGGAGGGGGGATTTAAATTGTGGTTTGGGCCTGGGTATTGACTGTAGTAAGGGCCAGGGTTGGGAGTTGTTGTGGTTTAAGGGGAAGGGTAGGATAGGATGTGTATGTGTATTAGGTTTGGTAGGGGGTGGGGGATGTATGTCTGCATGGTTTCTGTGTGTTTGGAGATGGGTTGAGAAGTTGTGAGTATCTG